AAGTAAAAATAAATATGTAAAAATTAAAAAAAACAATTAAAAAAAGTCGCCTTGACTAGGATTCGAACCTGCCTTACTACAGCTCCAACGTCATAGCAGTGTAAAGTCTTAACGCTTTAACCACGCGGCCACCGAGGACTTGAAAGATTCTATGTAAAATTCTTACTTAAAAGATAATGTTTAGTGAAAGTTCTTTTTTATTTATAAACATTTATTTAAGTCTGTTTTTAGTATTTGTTCTTATAGCGGCAATATAGATACATTATCTGTAAAAATGTCTACTGTCTAGCTATAACGGTTCATAAGATAGACCTTTGTAACAGACGGACGGACGGACGGACAGCGAAGTGTGAAGGTGCGTTTCCACCAAGCGCGCATAATGTTTGCAAATGTTCGCGAATGATCAGCAATATTTGCAAACACGTTTATTTGTCCGGTGGAGATATTATTTAGAATGTTTGCAAACGTTCGCGAACGGTCGCAAACCGATTGGCGATGTTCCGGCCGATGTCGGTACATCAAAGGGATTTGCTGTTTGTGCGCGTTTCGTGGAAACAGGTTTAAACGAAACTTTTTTTAAAACAGGGACCATTTGAATTTGAACGTGTCATTTTGTGTCGATAAAAATTAAAAATTGAGTGGGATAATGAAAAGTGCTTGAAATTGATTGATTTATATAGATTAAAACCCGAAATATTATGAAAATCAACCCATAATTTATGCCACAACAAATTTAAAAAACGATGCATGGTGTGATATAGCAGAAAAAATGGAAACTACAGTGGACATTGTGAAAGCTAAATAATCTCTGGAATAATTCTTGATATAAGTGGCTTCGAAACTCTAAAGAGATACATAAGGCTATTGTATGAATCTCCGGTGGCTAAAAACCGAAGTGTTATAGCCAATCTCAGTTCCACAGGAATACCGTTCCTGTAATTTGTATCTTTTTTACCTATTTTAGGACCGATTAACGATATTAAGTATTGAAAGTTTTCTTGTGACATTCTAGAGAAATTCCTAAATAGGCCACTTCTATCATCTGTTGTTATATCACGAATCAGTTGTACTGAGTTACTCGTTTTCAAGAAGTACGACGTCCAAAACCTATGTTTATTTATTGTATTACCTATGTATTACCTATGTTTATTTATACTATTATATTTTTTTGTTAAATACCTGGAAATAACCCTGGACAGTAAACTCCTGTGGAACAGGCATATTAAGAACACTACCAGCAACGCCATAAAGGCTCTCATGATATGCAGAAGACTGGCCGGAAATAGATGGGGCTGCTCCCCTAACATTTTGCGCTGGATGTATACCATGATAGTAAGAGCCATGATTACTTATGGAACAGTTGCCTGGTACACAAAACTAGAGCAACGGACGGCAAGGCTAAACCTATGCAAAGTCCAGAGACTAGCATGCGTTTGCATCACAGGAGCCATGAGAACCTGTCCAACAGCAGCAGTAGAGGTTATTCTAGATCTAACACCACTGCACATTGTCATTGGTAGATATGCCAATGCAACAATGATTAGAATGGTCACTAACGGAATTAGTACTGGGAGAATTGTCAGATGAGGGGCTTGGAACACCCTCAAAAAGGAAATACCACTCCTGCAACTCCCAGTGGACGACATGCCAAGAACGTACAACTTTGAGAAACATCTCAATGTAGTATTGAGCAATAAAAAGGATTGGAAGAGCGAAACGCTTGCCCAGCAGTTAAAAGACCATACCATAACTTGGTATACTGATGCTTCCAAAACCAATACGGGAACATGGATCGGAGTGTTTGGGCCAAGAGCTAAATACTCCGAACCAATGGGCACTTACCCTAATATCCTACAGGCAGAAATCTACGCTATCGAAAGATGCGTACAACTTATCTTAGATATGAACTATCGGAAACAAGAAATGGCCGCTTGTCTGATAGTCAAGCAGCGTTAAAGGCGATCAACTCAGTATCAATCAATTCGAAATTGGTCAAAGAATGCATAGAGAAGCTGAATAAATTAGGCAAAGAAAACAAAGTCCTCCTACACTGGGTGCCTGCTCACCAAGGGATAGAAGGCAATGAAAAAGCAAATAATCTAGCTAGGAAAGCAGCGAACACTCCACTAACTGAACCAGAACCGTTCTGCTTTCCAAGTGGTAACCAACTCAAGGCGGAACTCAAGAACTTGGAAGATTCCATCCGCAACCTGGAATGGAAATTTTCCAATGGTCTAAGACACTCGAAGAAGTTTCTGAGGGCTTATGATGAAGAAAAATCACAGATCTTCCTGGGTCTGAGTAAGAACAATCTTCGGATTGTCACGGGGTTTTTAACAGGACACTGTCTCCTCAACGAACACCTCAGTAGATTGAAACTAAGAAGAAACGGCGAATGCAGATTCTGTGGGGAAGATGGGGAAACACCAGTACACCTCATCACTGAGTGCGCCGAGACGACAACCATTCGTGCCATGAATTTTGGTACGACTGATATTGGAGATGGAGAACTACCCTCTATAAAACCGTCCCAGATACTGGCTTTTGTCAAATCCCTGGGACTGTATGATGAGTTATGACTCAAGAAAGGGGGACACAATGGATCTGTAAGGTCGCAGTGATTAACCCCCCTCCCACTCATTCTAAATTCTAAAATTCTAAAAACTTATGTTTTCTTTTCATTTTTTTCATAGTCTCCTTTTTCTTTCAAAACACACATTATAATAAAAGCAGCGGCATTTACAATAGCTGTTTTTTGCGGTGCCATTTTGTGCAAATATTCCGGATCGCTGACAAATGTTCACAAACTCACTGTTAATTCGCGAATTCTTGTCCTGTTCAAAAAGAGGAAAATAGAAACGAACCAACATTTGCAAACGTTTTCAAACATTCACAAACAGTTTCGAATGTTTGTTTGTCAATGTTTTTTGGTGGAGACGCACCTTTAGCTATGCGGGCTCAAGTTATCCCTTTTTTGTGGTCCATCTGTTGTCCGTCCTTCTTGCCAAGTGTCCTGCCCATAGCCACTAGAGGGATTTAATTCTGTAGATGACATCTATTACTTGGCTATTTTCTCGTATCCACTCTATTCTTTTGCGGCCTCTCTTGGTGATTCTCGGCACATTTCGTTCCATTGAATGAATGAGGTGAATAACCCTGTATAATTTGCTTTGTTAATAAATGTTTTATCTCCAAAAACAAAGAAGTTAAAGTCAGTTGAAAGTGGGACGAAATAAAATGAAAGCGCTGCACAAAGATTCAGCTTAATTTCAATAAACCAACAGTAGGAGAGTTGAGAAGGGGGTCTGGATAACAGTCTGGAAACTCTGGCGAAGGATTATTCGCGTCGCGCCAGAGATAATGGAAACTGCCAGTCATTCCGACGAGCAACAACGTAGTCTAATCCACATTAACGTCCAAATTAGAGCTGGTGTGTATCTTTATAGGATTAGAGTCGTTTTTTTTTCGCTATCGAACCGTTTCTCCTGTCCAATTTAAATTCAAATTAAACAATTTAAACTTTAAATGAGTCGTGGAAAGACGATAAGAAACGGGTATGGATAGGTTAAACGTATCTAGAATCAGTAGCGGTACGTAATTCCATACTTTGGGGGTGCAACACCTTAGAAAAAGAATTGTCAGGTTGTTAGGCTATCAAATCGCGAACAATTTTGTTGGAAAAAAACTGGATTTTATTTAGATTTTAGTTAAAATAAATATTTTCATTATAATATGGAAACATAGGTTACATACATTAAATTTACAAGAAAGAAAACAGAAAAGATCCAGTAGTTCTCAAAATTTAAGCAAAAAATCATTTTTTTATTTTCAAAGTAAAATAACTCGTTTATTTTTGACTTATTTGACGGTTGACGGTTAATCTCGAGAATAATACACAACAAAACAACCGAAAACATAACCTAACCCAAACATTAACATGTTAATGTCGACATTAATCGGACATCGGACTTTAACCGTAACATATACATTAACTACTGCTGCTACACTAACTGATTGCGTTACGGCCGCGCCGGCCACATGTGGTGAATAACCCTGTATAATCCAAATCTTGTCGCCTGTAAATTTTGTTCTTAAAAACCCCAAATCTAAATCGGTCTCCCCACGAGATAGACATGGAGGAAAGGGTAAAGAAAGGAAAGTTTCCGAAGCGGGGATTTGAGGAGGATTCTCCGTTCTCCCGAAACGCTACAAGCGCGCTACAACAGCTCGGACTCGAGGAGATTACTTGCGAAAGTTTTGGAAACTTTTCCAGCTTAAAACGCTTACGAGAGCTCCGGATTAGACTCCTTTTTAAAATCTAATCTACTTAAATAGAATATTGGATTTGGATTGCTCTCGATTTTCCGGTAATTCCCATTCTCAGACTCCACCAGTTCCGGAATAAATGGTTTAAGTTCATTGGAGTTGCAGACAGCTAAAAGTAGAAACGATTATGTTATTCTGTTACTTTTAGACATATTATAATATATTACATATATAACTTGTAAATTATTATTAACCAATTAAAAAACGTGCGAGACGACATAAAGTTTTTAACCTATCATCGCTGTTAAAGTATCATTTAATCTACCCTTGCGGTCAAAGTACTATTTTATCTACTATTTTTGATAGATATAAGGCAATTTTAACAGTTGCTATGGAAAAAAAGTATTTTAGCTTTTTACTAGTGAAGAAAATTATAATAAATCGAAAAAATATTTAGACTTTAACACCCTATAGCTACGAAACAGAGGAGGATCGGACCTATGTTGATATGAAAAATAAATCTTAGTTTAACGTGAGGAATCTCCCCACGAGATATGGCATATGTTATTTGAAACACCCTGTATCTGATTTATCCTTGGATTATGAAATTTATATAAATTTATCAGGACTGTATATAATATTATAACCTATCGTATATAAATATCTGGATAATCTATGTATCCAGTGATATAAAGAGATCGTTCTTTATATTAATCCAACTTTCTTTGTTGCAGGAGACATCACCCAGAAAGGATACGAGAAAAAAAGGACGAGGCTTTTGTCCCCCTATGTGCCTAAACAGAATTCCAGTAAGTTTCCTAGGTTACCGAAAAAAAAAATTTAGCAAGTAATCTTTATTTATGTCGTTCATTCTTTGTGTTAAGTGGTGAACACACTAAGAAATGACAGTTTCATGTCATAATTCATCTTAGAAGATATATTTTGGTGTGGGTTATCTGTTAAAAACTAATATACATTAAAATAGAAATTACAATGAAGAAATGTTAAAAGAAGTATTTTACTACAGGCTAATATTATTAGCTTAATATACAGGGTGGTCCGAATTGTATTCCGGAAACTTCGGCAGCATATTCTGCAGATAAAAATAAGTAAAAAACTTCTTATAAATGTATGTCCTAAAATGATTAGTTTTGGAGTTACAGGGTGTAGAAGTTTCATTTTTAATTTTCAATTTCTGAAGTAACGTCATTATCTGGATGAAAATTGACGGATGGGAGTTTTTGGTTTGGTGAAAAATTTGATTTTGATGTCAATATGACTCCCATTTGTAGGTGGCGCCACCTACATGTGTTTTAACTGTTTTGAAGAGTAACAACTTTTCTCGTCGGTACCTGTATAAAACTACTGAGTAAAAAATATACATTTACGACTTTTTTTACATAAAAAAGGTCTCTTGGTAAAAATCGCTACGAGTAATAGTTCTCGAGATATTTGGAATCGAAATTATCAATACCTGTCATCATTGACATAAATTAAACATGTTAACTAAATAGTTATTAGACAGAAATCATACATTTGAAATCTTTTTGTATCAAAAGTTGAAAAGAAACTGTTTAATTATCATTTTTTTGCAGAAAAACTTATGTATTATTTCAGTTAAATAACTATACTCAACGGGTGCTTATTTTTTGTCAGTAATGTTATGTATTGGCTAATTCTATTCAAAATATCTTGAGAACGGTTCCTCATAGCGATTTTTACCAAGAGACATTTTTTACATAAAAAGTCATGGAAATGTATATTTTTTTAGTCAGTGGTTTTATACAGGTACGGTCGAAAAGTTATTAATCTTCAAAACAGTTAAAATACATGTAGGTGGCGCCCCCTACAAATAGGAGTAATTTTGACATCAAAATCAAATTTCTCGTGTCACAAAACTCCCAGATACCAATTTTCATCCAAATATTGACGTTACTTCAGAAATTATTTGGAAAAAATCGAGGGATGTCTCACTGTTGGAATTACATGTACATTTTCTTGGCAGTCGCTGGCAGTCATTGGCAGTCTTATGGCAGTCGCCTATAATAATTACATGGCAGTCATAGGCAGTCTTCTACGCAGTCATTGGCAGTCGCTTGGAAATAGAATGATATTTTGGCAGTACATGTACATTTTTTGCCTAAGTGAGACACCCCTCGGAAAAAATCGAAATAAAAATGAAACTTCTACACCCTGTATCTCCGAAACTAAGCATTTTAGGACATACGAGGAATGTTTTTTAAGTAAGTACCGTTTTGCGATTCCGCCGCCGCAGCGCTACGGTCGGCGTTCCGCGCATGCGCGCTGGTTACCTACATCTCTTGTCTATGCACAGACGCCAGTACAGTATGATTCTTCATTGTATACGTTGTTCATTGAGTGTTTAAGATGCCTCCGACAATCGTGAGCCCCGCCGATTATGAAGTACGGGCTGTCATACGATTTCTTAGTGCTAAAGGCGTAAAACCGATCGATATTCATCGTGAGATCTGTGAAGTTTACGGACAAAACATTATGAGTGATGGAATGGTAAGGAAATGGGTGAGAGCATTTAAAGATGGCCGCACAAATGTGCATGATGAAGAACGGAGTGAGCGTCCTTCGGTCGTTAATGAAGATTTGGTGCAGAGTGCAAGTGTGAAAGAAAACAGACGCTTTACAATTTCATCATTGTGCGACTACTTTCCTCAATGTTCTCGTGGTGTTTTGTATCGCATTGTGACCGAGAACTTGAATTACCGGAAATTGTGTTCACGTTGGGTTCCGAAAATGTTGACGGATTTGCACAAAACCCAACGTTTAGGCAGTGCATTGACTTTCCTTGAGCAGTACCACAATGAAGGTGAAGATTTTTTAGACAAAATTGTTACTGGTGACGAAACATGGGTGGCCTACGTCACACCAGAATCGAAACAACAGTCCATGGAATGGCGACATTCATCGTCACCCAAAACAGTGAAGTTTAAGCAAACAATTTCTGCCCGGAAAAATCATGTGCACAGTTTTTTGGGACAGAAAAGGAGTATTGCTAGTGGAGTTTCTGCCTCGTAATGAGACAATCAATGCAGCATCTTATTGTGAGACATTGAACAATCTGCGCCGTGCAATCCAAAACAAAAGACGTGGCAAGTTGAGTAAGGGTATTGTTTTGCTGCATGACAATGCCCGTCCACATGTGGCTAATCGGACCAAAGATCTCATCAAATCTTTTAAATGGGAAACTGTAGATCATCCTCCATACAGTCCTGATCTGGCGCCCAGTGACTACCATTTATTCCTGCACTTGAAGAAACACCTGGGCGGTCAGCGTCTTCAAGACGATAACGAAGTCAAAACAGTTGTGATACAGTGGTTAACCAGTCAGGCGGCAGAATTTTATGAGGAGGGTATTGAAAAACTGGTGCCACGTTATGACAAGTGCCTCAATATTCACGGAAATTATGTAGAAAAGTAGATTAAGGTACAGGCTTTCATGTAAAAATAAAATTATTGCGATATCTTTGCACGTTTTTTTTAATTCTAAAACGGTACTTACTTAAAAAACATGCCTCGTACATTTATACAAAGATTTATACGAACTTTTTTACTTATTTTGATCTGTAGAATATACTACTGAAGTTTCCGGAATACAGTTCGGACTACCCTGTATACTTCTTCTTGGTTAATAACTATGAAAAGCATAAACACACTTATTATACCATAGATTTGTATTTGTAACTAAGTCTAAGATACTGAACATCAAATTCCTTCTTAATGTATGATCTTTACGTCATCAAGCGCTTTTCGCTAAAAACTTATGAACATCATTATCATCATTTTCAGCTTATTCAACCATTTCCAATTATGGTCTAGCCTCCCTCACACATTTAGATACTCTCTTTGTAATTGGGCCCATTGTTGTTTGTCTATTGTTAGCTATGCGGGCACAAGTTATCCCTGCTAATTTCCTAATATCATCGTCCCATCTCAGGTTTGATCTTCTTCTAGGTCTCCAAATCCCTCGTGGATACCATGCTTTAATTTTTGTAGTCCATCTGTTGTCTTGTCAGGTGTCCTGCTCATTGCCATTTGAGGAATTTGACTCTGTGAATGACATCTATTACCTGGGTCTTTTGTCATATCCACTCTATTCTTTTAGATGTCTCTTGGTTATTCCCAGCTTATTTCGTTCAATTGAACGTTGTGCGACCTGCAGTTTTCTTATAATGTCCCTTTTAAGTGTCCAGGTTTGACATGCATACGTCGAATGTTTTCTTTTTTAGATAAAGAGGCATTCCAGATTTGAATATGATTGAGTTTCTTCCATAAGTACTCTAAGAATTAAGTATGCATGACATAGTCCTAATTGCCAATAGTCTTGAAGAACTACAAGCACATATTAACGAACTAAATACAGCCAGTAGTAAAGTGGGTCTCAAAATGAATTTAGCCAAAACTAAAGTAATGTATAAAGAACTAGTAGACAGAACAGACATTCTAATAAATAACGCAACACTGGAAATAGTAGAAGAATTAATTTAAATTAAATATTGGGAGCAATTAATATACAGCTCAGGATCTGTACTACCAGAAATAAACAGAAGAATTAAGTTAGCAGTTGGATAAGTTAGCACTTATGGAGCAGTTGCCTGGTACACAAAACTAGAGCAACGGACGGCAAGGCTAAACCTATGCAAAGTCCAGAGACTAGTATGTGTTTGCATCACAGGAGCCATGAGAACCTGTCCAACAGCAGCAATGGAGGTCATTCTAGATCTAACACCACTGCACATTGTCATTGGTAGATATGCCAATGCGACAATGATTAGAATGGTCACTAACCGAATTAGTACTGGGAGAATTGTCAGATCAGGGGCTTGGAACACCCTCAAAAGGAAATACCACTCCTGCAACTCCCAGTGGACGATATGCCAAGAACGTACAACTTTGACAAACATGTCAATGTAGTATTGAGCAATAAGAAGGATTGGAAGAGCGAAACGCTTGCCCAGCAGTTAAAAGACCATACCATAACTTGGTATACTGATGCTTCCAAAACCAATACGGGAACAGGGATCGGAGTGTTTGGGCCGAGAGCTAATTACTCCGAACCAATGGGCACTTACCCTAGTATCCTACAGGCAGAAATCTACGCTATCGAGAGATGCGTACAACTTATCTTAGATAGGAACTATCGGAAACAAGAAATACCCATCTTCTCTGATAGTCAAGCAGCGTTAAAGGCGATCAACTCAGTATCAATCAATTCCAAATTAGTCAAAGAATGCATAGAGAAGCTGAATAAATTAGGCAAAGAAAACAAAGTCCTCCTACACTGGGTGCCTGCTCACCAAGGGATAGAAGGCAATGAAAAAGCAAATAATCTAGCTAGGAAAGGAGCGAACACTCCACTAACTGGACCAGAACCGTTTTGCTTTCCAAGTGGTAACCAACTCAAGGCGGAACTCAAGAACTTGGAAGATTCCATCCGCAACCTGGAATGGAACTCTTGCAATGGTCTAAGACACTCGAAGAAGTTTCTGAGGGCTTATGATCAAGAAAAATCACAGATCTTCCTGGGTCTGAGTAAGAACAATCTTCGGATTGTCACGGGGTTTTTAACAGGACACTGTCTCCTCAATGAACACATCAGTAGATTGAAACTAAGAAGAAACGGCGAATGCAGATTCTGTGGGGAAGATGGGGAAACACCAGTACACCTCATCACTGAGTGCGCCGAGACGACAACCATTCGTGCCATGAATTTTGGTACGACTGATATTGGAGATGGAGAACTACCCTCTATAAAACCGTCCCAGATACTGGCTTT